GACTTGGCAGTGCTAGGTTAATGGTTGGACTCGATGATCTTAAGGGTCTTTTCCAACCTAAACGATTATATAAACACCTTCTCCCCTGTGAGAGCTCTCCATTTGTCTCAGTATTTGCTGCATGATCCTATGGCACACTACCCAGCATACTCAAGGAAACCCCCTTTCTTTCCAAACATACCCAATATAATACCAATACTAAAGCATAATAAAAAAAAATTAACAGTTTTAAGATAGATATTTTTAAGGAAATTGTTGCATCTAAGTATTACTTCAGATGCATATAAGTGCATATGCATCCCTAGTGCACAATTAATGTGTAGAAGACCACCACTACAGCTGTTCTTTTTATTCTCCACTATGTACATACCTGAGATTTGTGAAACATCTGCAAGTTAATAGCCTTCACTTCTTCTAACTGTTGGCGAAGTGCAACTAAAGTGTCTTGTTTTTCATGAGTATCTTTTTCCAGAAGTTTCATGGCAATTTCCATTTCTGTTTTCATTCCAATTTGTAGCTCCAACTCTTTCTCTAGTTCCTTACAAAGAGATTTCCTAGTTACTGCTATGTAGTTATATGTCAGGGATAACCATTTCCAAAACCCATATAACCCCATACACAAACTATGTATTACTGTGAGATAATACTGAACTATGATTTTACAGAGGAGTTAGGTCTCAAATAATACATTAAGTTAGTAAGACCAAAATACTACTTCAGCTCTCCAGATCAGGGCAAGGGCGCAGATCTGCTGGCAGGAAGTGTAGAGCTCAGTGTGTAACTTAGCGGCCTGTGAAATGAAGCACTTCTCCTGGCAGCTGGAGTTGGGTTGACTTAGAGCCATAAGCTTCAGCAACTCTGGGCAGCCCCTTCACCAGTCACTAATTAGCATTTCACTGTGGAAGTGACTGTTGTGCATATACCATATCTTCCTCCATAAAGACAGTTGCCTCTCTTTGTGTTTTGATCTTAGTGTCAGCTATAATAATGCTGGTAGGTTCTTAAACAGAGGAAGATGTTTTATTTTCAGCATTCCAAAAGCTCAGATTTCCAGTTCTTTACAGACAGTGTTAACAACCAATGTCCAGCATCTTGCTTGCAATTCCTTTATGAATTCTGAATAGCTGCAAAAAGTGCACAGTATACATCTTATATTTGTAATGCTACCTTAAAGTATGCAGAATCCTGTATCTTTCATTTCACTTTCTGTAGTTAAGTTTCCTTACCAGCCTAATTTTTTTTTCTTCTTTCAACTGCTTCCAAACATCACTGTACATTTCATCAAGACCCTGGCGTGACTGCTTGTATGTATCCAATTCTACTTTTGTATCCTCTTTTGTCACCTACAAGCAACATCAGCAAAAAAGCCACATAAGATTACAAAGCTATGTATCTAAAGTATGCTTTAAGTTCTTGTGTGTAACACAATATTTCTATGTGCTATTTCAAGTAAAATCCCACTATTTTACAATTAATAAGCTGGCAAATGTTAATAAGCTGAAATTTCAAAGAATAGAGTAAAATTAAAAGGAAACCATTCTAATACTTTTAATGCTTTCTCCCTTCTGCAAGTATATGTTTAAGTGTGTAGTACAGAACAGCAAAATCCAGCGCCTGTGCATACTACACACAAAACCAGTGATCTACACAGTAGCATACTAAATTGTACTTAGCATTCCAGTTCAAAGTGCTTTTGAGAGCACTAACTACAGTTGATCAAAAGAGATCACTTAGTTTAAGGATCCTCATAATCTTTAAATAGGTGTCCCACCTCTACACTTTTTTCACTCCGTTCACGAATTAATTCATTTTGTTGTTTTAACTGCTGCTGCTCTTCCTGAAGTGATCCAATTCGGTCAGTTGCTGCTGCAAGCTGTTTACAAAGAGAACATATCTATATTTAATTACTGCGCAAGCATGCTGGAGGAATTCTAAAGTGTGCAGGTGTGCTGCTCACTTCCCCTTTGTCCCTTTCATTCTCCCCAGAAGCTGCCTGACCCTTTTGCAGCCATACTCACTGTACAGCCTAAATTAATAAGCCCACCAACATTTGTTCACTTGAATTCTGCTTCACGCCCTCATCAATTATTTTTAAATATTAACTGTGCAAAGAAATGCATCCTGGTGTAAAAGGCTAAAATCCACCACAGATCTGTGGTATTCATTCTGGTATGAACTAGAAGTCATATAGCAAGTCAGGGTTGACATTCACTAGTGGAACCTTACGGCATTTTCAAGTGGAGATACCCTAAAAAGTATTGGAAATTGGACTACACAGATACACTCTGAACTGCTATAGACAATAATATACACAAACAGTAAAACACGACTACCACAACAACAAAAACCAAAACAACCATTATAATGCATACTGCTGGATTCTATTTCAGTTCCCAGCTAGGAAAGATTTCTTAATTGAAGGGTGATTCTTTTCCTTCTCTTTTTTCAAGTTCCATTTAACTCACATGACAAATATATACACATGTGTACGTGCAGAAGGAAGAAGGACAATCATGTTCCTTACAGTGGTAGGATTACTTTTGGGTGGAGACACCATTGCAAGATAAAAAAGTTCATTAAGGAAACCTGTCTAACAAACAGGTGCCCAAAAGCATTTTAACAACTAACTAAGTAGAAGCTTTCCACAGAGCTTTTCCCATGTGCCAACTCATGCCAGTCCTACCAGGCCCCCATACTTCATTAGTATCAACTCAAATATTAGGCCTAGGGTATATTCTTAGGGAGTTTTGCTTCTGATGGAAGAGAGCTATGAGAAATATTTAACAGACCAGACACAAACCTCTTCCTGGAGTTTTGAATTGGTCTTTTCTAAACAGTCGATTTTGTTCTGAAGATCTGCAACCGTGCAACTGCAGCAAGGAAGAGAGATGCATAAAAACAAAATAAGTGCCAGTGTTCAACATTTATTCCCAGCCCCAATCATACTTTTACCATCTTGCATTTGTTAACAATGAAATACTTTGGTGCGCTGGCAAAAAACTCAGAGGAAAGACAATTGTCCCTCTTAAGCTCTGAGAGGACCATGCATTTGCCTACAGTTGGCAGCTTACTGTATTAGTTGGCAGCCCTGTTCTGGCTTAGCTTTTGCAGTCTTAACACCTCTCTGATGTTCAAGAGGGTAAGCGAGGCCTGCTCCTCCCACTGAGCAACGTATGGGGGAAGAACAGAGACTCTTCCTCTAAAGAATGAATTTCCAGATGCACTTGTAATATTTTTCTCTTTAAAAAGTAGCTCCAAAATCTTCTGTTAATCACTAATAAGTCTCAAAAAAAGTTAACTATTACTACACAGACTTGTTTTCTGCATTGCATATGCCATCAGAAGAGTAAGATTACAAAATGAAACTAAGATTTTGGGATATAATCAGAAAAGGCCTTTCAATGTCAGACAAAAATCTACAAGACTGACAGCAGAGACATTCAAAGCCATACTGGAAAAGCTAAACAGGACAAGTGTTTGCACATTAGAATAGATGAAAATCCCACCTTAGATGTCGGTTAAGTTCTTCCACATAATGCTTCTGGTCAAGGACAGCTGTAATCCCTCCATCTCTAGTTGTAAAAATGAGAATTTATTGATTGAGAAGAAACTCCTTCATTCTAAAGTGTTAGTTTGTACTGGAGTTTTCAGCACAGACTTGCAAACTGAGTTCAAACCTTTTCTCCTTTTCTTATAAAAACACTTGTGCCTGAGCTAGACCCGTAGCACTAGGGAGATGAAGCAATTAAACAGTAAAGTGCTCTGAAGTGCAGGAAGCATGCAAACTATGAAGTCCTCTCCATTCACTACAGGGCTTCTAGATACAGTGATGCTGAGAGCTGCAGTCTCTAATGCACCTAACATTTCACCTAAAAGTACTTTTTTTGCTCCATAACTGATCTCTCCCACAAAGACAGCTACTTAATTGAGAGTGTTTCTGAAACAGTGCTTAGAAACAAAGCAGTGGTTTAGTAGTGGGTGACCTCGCAGATCATGCCTCCTAAAACCCATTAAAAACGCAACCTAAAATTTTTGGGGCTTTTAATTTGGTCCCAGCTCAAGACGCAAACTCTCCACACTGTATTGTACTTAAAACTACCATGGGCTCAACCTTTGAAAGTTAGTACTTTTGTTTAACTAACAAAATCTATTTTGGATTCTCTTGTTTGGATGATTAAAAGAGTTTGAGATCTCTAGCACTCATATGCTCCCACAGACGGTCTGACAAGTTTGTTCTACAAAAAACATAACAATTTAGAATCACTAATTCACCATACATACTGTTTGCCATCACTATCCTGTGTTTCCTTAAGGTACAAGGAAAAATCAATCACTCCAACCTGAAAAAAATATTTAAGATATTAACACACCTTCACAGTGCAATTCTGCATAGCAGCAGGCATTACTTTGTATTTGGAAAAAGGTAAAAATCTGAAGTTCAAGTTTAGAGAGACAGATAATACCTATATTCTTCCTAGCTGAAGCAAACATACAAGCTAGTGTTTGTCATAAAAGCATCAAAGTAACCATATTCAGTGTGCTCAGTTTCCTAGCAGTCATTAGTTTTGACAGCATTTCCATAAACTGCTACTTAAAGAGATGAATCCTTATGTACTTTTTCTTGACTCAACGTGGAAAGCATGACAAGTTTCAACACAGGACATTCTGGACAGAATTCTGGACCCGTTTCAGTAAAGTATTTATGGATGTGCTTAATTCTACTAGAATCTTATACTGACTGATATTATTTAAGCTTTAATCTTCACCTGGGAGTCCAAGTCTTCTCCTTTCAAGCAAAGGTTTGCATCAATAACATTCAGTCCAACTAGCAGACCGACAATGACTGCTCCTTCCTCCTCCATCATCAGTGCATCAGGTTCATAAAATTCACTAGAAGAAATATTATAAGGCATCACTGTACATCAAACAATTATAATAGTACTTCCATCACTGAAATCATATAAACAGTAATGTAGCCCTTATAAAGCTCAGCTGATCAGCCCCTTCTCACTAATTTATTGCACAAGGCAGAAGATACAGAACTCTCACAGAAGATACTCTACTTGCTCCTCTGTAGGTTCACTGCAAAAACAATGAACAACTTGCTGCCCTGCAGGTTGCAAGAACAAGCTTAAAGTTAAACCAGTCAATTAATGACTTCTTACTACAGCAATGCAAGGTTTCAGTGATTCAATGAATACAATCTACGTATGTCTGTAGCGTTACCTTAATAGATGCTTGTGGTCCAAGAGTACTTTGAGATAATCTGCCAGTTTCTTTTGCATGAGTGCTAGATAAAGCCAAGCCCTTCCTCTTCCCACAGCAGTCCTAAAATAAAAAGTTGCATGTTTTGGTAAAAACAAAGCATTTCATTAAGTAGATTTGTGTAATTCAAAATTCTTCCTTTACAAAGGGAGTTATTTACTTAAAGAAACCACAAAAATTTAAAAAAAAACGTGGGGAAATGAAGTGTTGTCTCTAGAATACAGAAGCATTTAGGTATATCCCATTGCTTCACCAAAGGGAAAATATATTGTGAAGTCTTCCTAACTTGGAAAGACATATATATTTTCAACTACCACCATAACCCAACTATTGATGCATCCTAGCATTAAAACTAGTCTCTTCCCATCATCCTGAATTACCCAAACGATATACTACTAGCATATGCACAAAATGACACGAAGTCATAAAAGTGACGGAAAGAAGAGGAAAGAAAATATCTGTGAAGACTTTACGGTTATTTTTAGCAAGGTTATAGAAGTTTCCAAACGATGTTTTTAATCTGACAGCATTGTTTGAATCAGAAGCATTGAGTATTTTGAGATATCCTCCTTATCTCTTGGAGAAGTCAATGCCTCCTGTATACCTGATATTTCTCTTTGGGAACAAGATCTCATTAAGGAAGGTGAGAGACTACATTAAGGATTCTTTTTCCCAGCAGTATAAGTGAAATGCATCATCCTCAACAATCAACTTACTTCAACTCCGGCAGATTTTTAACACTAGTTGCTATATCCGATGCTTCAGGACAAAGTTTTTCCACTAGCTCCAAAGGACCAAAAAACGATTTGTTCTGTCCAATGAAAGTCTTCTTCACTAAAGGGAGTATACAGAGAAGTTGTGAGGAAAAGTGACAGGCTCCCAACCCCAGAATTACAAATTTTAGTCTATGTTCTACTTTGTTTCACCAGCTCCTAATATGTCAACGAAAAGGGGGTATTAAAAATACTTTGACAGTTTAGGAGGCACCAAATACAGGGTATATGAGAGGGTAACCACATAGTTACATCTGTAATACTGATTAGCATGATACGGTGTATGCGATCAGTATTAACGTCATACAGAAGTCGAACTGGGGACACAGCGAGACAGGACACAGACTCATTTATCTGTCTCCCCAGCGAGGCAGCCGGACCAGCCGCGGGGAGCAGGTGCCCACCTTTCAGCCCGTGCTTGAGGCAGTGCTCCAGCACCACGAAGAACTGCTGCAGGGGAGGGAAGTCGGAGTCCAGGGTCCGGCCCAGGCTCAGGGCCGACTGGATCAGGATTTTGATACTGAGCTTCATCATGTTCATGAGGTTGGCACGCTCCTCCATGGCGTGGTATCGCGCACCTGGGCGGGCGGAGACGGGTGGAGAAAGAAAAGCTGGGTTTAGAAACGCACTCCTCCTGGCCTGGCACAGCGCTGACAGGAGTGCTGCCTCCCCGTCTCGGTCTCCATCTTGCGGAGGTGAACGGCTTGAGAAGAGCTGGGTACAGGATGCGGGTGAATCCCCCCACACCCAACACGCTGTACGCACGGATCGAGAACCGACACCGGGGGGAGCGGGGCCGCTGCCCCGGCCCTGCCG